GAGCAAGATAATGTATTAATTACCTTTGGTTGAGTTTTCAACTTTAATTCCACCGGCGAATCATCAGCTTCCACCTGTCTTTTCGCTGATCTCTCCATGATCGGCGGTGTCTTCGCCGGACTAACATTTTCCGGTGCACTCTGTACACCCACATCTCGTTTTAGCCCCACAACTTTCTTTTCTGCTCAAAAACACCCCAAACTCCATTTTTGTTAAAAATAAACCCAAAACACAATACCACCTTTATGAGAACATTTTATAAAGAAAGATTATCAATCACCTTGAATAAGAACAGGATCGGGAGATATAGGATCCTCATGAATGATTCTAACATTAGGATTAGTCGTTCTTGGAATATTGTTGGGATTATGATTAGAAGGTAAGATCATGAGTGGAGCAGAAATGGTGGATAAGTTTCTGAAAGATCTTGAACTTAGGGTTTTAGAAGACAAACACTCCATAGGAACTTCACCAGACAAAGGATTGCAAATATACTTCTCTGCCTCGTTCCATTTCGAATTTAACTCAACCCCTTCTGGTTTTAACCAATCCCAATGCTTCTTGTACACTGTTTTTGCTTGCAATGCTGTAAGAAAAACAATTACAAAAAGACAACAAAGAAGAAGATATTTTACATTTCCTCTGTTTTCGTTCATAATAAAAGCTTTTTCTTTCTATTATATAATATGAACAACCTAATATATATATAAGGGTAAGTATTATGATGTAGTTGTTGATTTAAAGTTCGATAGAGAAACGTAATGATTTTGGATTTAAAGTATGTTTCTTATCGAAACGTTGGGCTTTTTTTTGGATGAAGAAACTTACCCTTGAGTGCACTAGTGAAGGAATAAGTTGATGGGTCAACCTCATCTGTCACAAAAAACTCAATAATTGAAGAGAAGAATTCTAAGAAACAATTAGCGTAAAAAGAGGTGATTTATTGCCTTTCAGGGAGTAGCCAGGAGAAGAGGCAGTACTAGAGATGGTGAAGTTTGTTCTACAAGACTTGTGATCTTCTCGGAAGCTTCGGATACATGAGGCAGAGAACCTTCTAGAACTCGGGTTTTCGATAGTTAAATGACCTTTTCGAGCCCATTCTCGTAGTTTAAACTCAAGCTCTTCGTCACGCAAAGCCATTGAAACCGAACAACGATGATTATGAAGGAGCAATGGTAAGCTAAAGAGGAGGGTGAGAGGGAGGAAATGTACCTCTCTAAATTTAAAAGGGGTTTTTATTGATGTTTTGTTACTTCAAAATATTGACTTTTTTTAGTACTCTTATCGTTAATTTTGTTTCATTGTATTGGGTATTTTAAAATAACATATGTTGAATTCTAATTGGATGACTGATATATGCTAAAAACATTTTACTGTAAAGTTTGTCTTTTGTTTTTTGGGTGTAATACATATATAGAAAATTCACTTGGCATGTTTCATTTTTTTCTTTAATAGTTTCTGATCTTTAAGTTCTTGTTTTTTTTCATGTTTAAATTTTTATATAGTGACAGCTAAAATTAATGGAGTCGATTGGTAAGAAAAAAGTGAGGATTGATTTAACATGTTTGCACTGTACATAACCCTTTCTCAAAAAAATGTTTCCACTGTATATCAAAATCGACAGAAAAGGATTTCAAATAAGAAAACTAATAATTCACATGAAAAATTATTCTCTACCAAAAAATAATGTGTGAAAATTAACAAATCATAGATGATTGCATCTGAAGCTCTTTAACAATACTATCAAATATGCAGGTTATATTGCTGATTTAATGTAATTAAATATTCAAAATATTATCGAGTATATATAAAATATTATCGACAATATATGAGCTACTGATGAGCTGAAAGTTATGGCAGGGCCTAAGGGCCTATTCACTTATTCAGGGTGGATACGTGAAGTTGATGTGTATAGTCTCATTTATGAGTCTTTATCTATAAAACATGTAAAAACGGTGAGATATCATAATATCCACATTAGTTTTGCAATGGAATAATATGAAAATTACAAACCGTATCTTTCATTGATGCAGCAGATACCTGCTCTTTTTTCCGTAACAAGTTCTTTTTCAGCTGAAACCTAATCTATCTAACTTTCTGTTTGCATGTCAAATATGTGTTTTAATGACCAAAATGATCAACTATAAGCGAATCACAATTTAAACTATAAGATATCTATCGATTAAAGAGCAAGACGTTATTTATCAGATGGAGAATCAATATACTATCGATCACATATATTACCAATAGATTTAAATGTTTAACATATATATTATTTTTTTTCATTTTTTTTTAAATTTAATGCTGTATTCTTTAAGGACTTTGTCTACGAGAACATTCGAATTGTTTTTTTTTTTTGGAATTGTTGTGATATTATATGTTGCACATGGTGAAGGATTCGCATATTTTGAAAGAAAAAATATATATTCGAGATTGATTCCTTTTATGGTCTTTTTCTCATTATAGTGTATGGTTGTTTTCAATATATAGCATGGAATCTCTTTGTTTGGATTCCAAAGAATGAACAAAAGAGAATAGCTTTGTGTTTATATGTATAATAAATATAACCATGTGCGTG